CAAGGGCTTTTCCTACACAATGCAATTTCTGTCATACCACTCTGATTAGTTGGCTTTTATTACCACTGGCTGCTAGCTTTTTAGTGATATGCGCCCCTCATAGCATGGCGAATAGACGTGGTATAAAACCTAAATTTTTACTAATGTAGGAATTATATTGACTGATTGGCTTTTTTTTTTTTTTAATGGGGCGACTGGCTAGTAAGGCGCAGGCAAGCTGCCACATGATTAACCCTCACACAGCCGAGGTTCCCGGTTCAGCCAAATTTCATTTTCATGAGTAGATTTCACATAAACCAAGCCAGCATATTGCCAAATCTTGGAGGTTCTGAAAATAATATTAAATTTGAAAAATTTTGTTCTAAAGAAATAAAACCATTGTTAATTTGGATGGATACGTCCCCCGAATTTCCCCTTCCCAATTTTTTTTTTATTATTGTTCATTTAATTATTGTCATTTGTATTTTATTATAATATTAAATACCTTATAAAAACTATTTGAAAAAAAAATAAAAAATCACTGTGCACAAGTCTAATTAATACTGAAAAGTGAGATAAATCATCCAAATCTGGTAAGGTGTTTAGAATGACCCTTTAAGTATATAGAAACAACAAGAATATATCACCATTACCACATCTTAAATCGACATTTACTGTATCATTTGGAAAACAACAGTACCTTAATTAAAATATAAAAGGACTTGTCATTTTGTTGTTCTGGCAGAATTCCCTGACTGCTTATTAGTGTAGCACAGAAGGAAAAATATAGTAAGTAGATTAAATTCTCAGACTTACAGCATTCTATTACAGTAAACAATGCAGCACAGATGCATCTGTACCCTACATATTAAAAACACAAACACAAGAAACAGTTCAACTAAATACACTTCAAACACTAAAATGTGAAAAAATATATATTTTCATCCAGTGCATTTGATTGATAGATAACAATGTTACCGTTACTTCCCTGCTATTACATGTCACTTGTCTTCTTTCTTTCCACTGCTGTCTCTTGCAGAGTATTATCTATCTACTTGAATACTCCTGCAGAGTTCATCCTCATTCCAATTTTGTTCCTAAATAAATATTTTCCAATAATTCACACTGCCTGACATAAATGTCTGAATCATGCAGAAATGCATAGGGAAGGGCTTGCTAAATGGTAGATACTCAGATGTTGCTGAACTGCAACTGCTATGTTGGTTTTACCAGCTGTAATGCTGACAAAACATCAAGGGAACTGAAGCTCTGCAACAGCTGGGGAATCTAATCCTGGCCATTCCTGACACGTAGAAAATAGGAAAGAAAAAAAATGTACAGTATAGAAATGCTAAAGAACACAATACCAAAATATATTTAACAAAAAGTGTCCTTGACCCCAGACTTCTGTTTGCAGAAATACATTTCCTGAAATTGAAATTTTGTGTGTCCACCACTTGTCCATGTTACAGTTGGCTCAGCTGAACATCATCACCAAGATTCATGGAAACGTTCAAGCATGCCCAAAAAGCATGTAAAGGTGCCTATTTTATAGTCGGCAGCAAATGTGTAATGCAAACAATATTGTCTAGCCTACTGGCTATGAAATATCCTATAGTAATGGCCAAAAGTCAGAGCTTTTACCTGGCCATTCTAGCAGTGTAAAATGAGTTTCCAGAAACCATGCTCAGTACAGACAAGGTCACTTGTGCAATACAGTGCCACGCACTATATTACTGAGAATTAGTGGTGTAGCATGTGTTGCCAGCACCCAGGGCAAGGCAAGTATTGCACCCCCTTAATAGTGGACCGTTAGCATTCCCCGAATCCCTTAAAGCACACCTTGATTACCTTGCTCCTCCTTTACCTGTCCAACTCCTTTATGTGTGTGACACTGATAGTTACCTTGCACAATTTTTAGATTACACCTCATACCTTAAGTAATGTATATAGTTTATACACATTACTTTAGACATGAAGTTGATTTTAAAAATTACACGATGCAACTATCAATGTCACAAACATCACGTAGATGAGGGGGTAGGAAGAATGTGTAGGCGCCCGTTACCGGCATACCAGTATGATATAATTTAATAGGCATTTACATAATGCCTATTAATAGCGTGATCACCAGCAGAATCTTTGCACAGAATATCACGCTATTGATAGGCATTATATAATTCACAGATAAGGTTTACTTGAGAACAGTGTGGCTGTAATTAGCAAGACAAATACCCTAAAATGTTATGTGGCAATGTTTATTTGCCCCGACATGTAGAAAAACTGTGTAGAATGTTCAAACATTGGAATATTTTCTGTGTGAGGGGAACGGTGCGCTGATTTTTATTTATAATTACTACTTTCTTTTTTTTTCTTTTGACATTTTGCGTCCCCAAAAAGTTTGCGCCCAGAGCAGCCATTTTCTCAATATATCTAAATCCACAGCGTTAATCAATCCAAGCATTTTCTGCTAGCACAAACTATTCCAGAGATGTGATATCCTGGCAAGACGTTTTAACTTCTTTCATTAAAAGGTCAATCATAACCACTTCATATTAAAGGAACAATCCAAGCACCATTACTACTACGGACGTCAACTCATTTTAACATCGGTTATGGTGTTTGGAGTTTTACTTTAATAAAATGGTTTTGGTGCATATCATGGTCATTGTAACAGAACCTCTCTCTGACATTTTCACTTTCTTTGAGGTCCTCTATTTCCATTGTTGTTGCTGTTGCACAATGACAACGACAACGATTTCCATTGTTATGCAAATGTTGTATGAAATATCTCAATGTTTAAGTGTGCTCCTCCTCCTTAAAGATTTTGTTAGGAGTACCAATAAAAATGTATTCCTGCCTATAAGCAGTGGTCAGAGGGGGTGATATCTGACTGTTCAGTGGGTAGAGGGCAAAACACCACATGGTGGTGGTTGTCCCTGGTTCCAGTGGAGAAAGGATGGATGATGTAGTGGGACATGTCTGGCCCCGAGCTAGGGGCCTGTATGCCCTGTTTCCATTGCATCCTTGCCATAACATGTTTACATTTTCTGTTGTTTAGGAGTTACATTTGTTTATTTCTTTAGCCCTAGCCACACCTCCCTCACTGCCAATCACAAGGCTTCTTTACTCACTTCCGGTAAAGATATATCATTTAGTTTATATCTTCAGTTTAGCATCAGCAGAGTGTTTACTTTAAGACATGCAGAGGAAGTTCTTCTGCCTGCTTAATGCTGTGAAGCAGCTAAAACCGGAATAAATCATTGGCTCTTGCAAGTAATCTTGTAAAATAAGAACAGTATCTCACAGGAAGAGTGAAAGAAGGCCTGCAGACTTGGAACCATTTATAGCACATTATTGTATTTTTTTTAAATTTTTATTATTATTTTAATTATTTAATCATGTTACATATTTTTTACAGATATCTACTTTTCTGTATAATTTTGTAGATTATAAACTGTTATTTGAGAAAGTGTTCATACTGTAGATCTCATTATTACAAATACTAACCTCAAGATAACTTGCATATATCAGGAATCTCATTTTATCCTAGACTTAAAAAAAAACAAAAAAAAAAACATGAATAGTAAGACAAGATTCAATATCAGTTAATGATGCAAGATAACAGGCGATGAGTTGAAAAATACAATAAATTAAATAAATTCAGCAAAATTTGTAGGTTAAAAGTAGTGAACGCAGCCCTGTTGAAAAGGGGAAATTCGATAACAAGTGCACAGACAATAGAAACACACAGGGTAATTCACTAAAGTCCAAATGGGGCAAATATCTGCTGCTGTGTGGTGACCCATTAAGAATGCAACAGTTCATGCAACTCATCAGTGTCTGGATTTTATTTTTTGTATTTATTTTTTATTTATTTGTACCTCACTTCACTTATAAGTAAAAAATCAAGTATAACATTGTTAAGAGATAGATACAATATGCACATCATAACCAATAATATCACATCATAAATATAAGTAGTGAAGAGAGGGTTATTTGTTTTCTTTTTTGTTTTGTTTTTGACAAGATGTAGGACATACATGTAAAACTCAACTGATGTATTCCAGGTGGCTCATTACTACCCCTTGGAGAGTTTACCCCTGCCCATACCGTAACATATGATATTTTAGTACCAATATGAGAAATGTGGGTGGGAGGGCTTATTACCCTCCACAGTATGCTTATGTGGGTGCTCACTAGTCGTCTAGTATGAGTTGCCTTAGGTAGTTATGAGGGAATCCAAGTAGGTTCAGATCTGGACAGCATCCCTGTGGATAACCTGAACTGTAGTTCAGAGGGTGAAAAAGGACAACTTAAATGGAGCTAGCAATCAATAATTAAAGTGCTGGAAAAAAAGTAAAAAAAAAAAAAAACTTAAAAGGAAATGTTGCAGAAAAGGATAACAACAATCCCAGCAGAACGTAGGTTGTATTTAACTTTCCGGACTAGGTGGTGCTCACTGCCGCTTTGGGACAATATACTGAGTGCCAGTCAAGTCATGTAACTGCTGCCTTGGATGAGTTTTCCAAGGGGAGTCAAGGGGTGAATACAGAGATCTTCGTTAGTGTGGCGAAAGTAACCTCGCCACTGGGTTTTGGAGAGGCCTGCTTGCCAGCCTCTTGCACTGTGACTATGGCCCCTGGGGTGTATTGCCTTTTAAAAACACTATTTGTGCATATTGGGACTCAGCACAATGCCCCTTTCAAACATGTGGCGGTGGCCATCTTAAATTGTCCAGCAGTGTTTTGTAGTTGAGTGTATGGAACTGTTTTGGGCATGGAACCATGTCCACGGTGAGGCAAAAATAAGACTTCCAGGAAATTCCTGAACTGATCTGGGTGATTTCTGGATATGTTGTTCACCCAGATCGGAGCTATCAGGGGATATGTTGTATTTTGGGGTACTTTTGGGGGTTTGTAAAAATGTATGTGTGACGGAACGCTGGCACTCCGACTGAGTACCTCTGCCAATCGATGCGCCTATTGCTCGCTGAGGACTCCAAGCACTCCAAACAACAACATCAACACTGCAGACCCCACTTCCAGCGATACAGCTGCGCCGGGGTCTCGCCGTCTCCACCCACCCTGGATCCACGACCAGGATCCAGCTCCCAGTGGGTGAACCTCTCCTAAATCCAGAGAGCGTAGCAGGAACAAATCAAGCTATTGCAAGAGTTTACTCTGGGGAGTAAGTGATTATAGCAATCCCCAGAGTGTAGTTTTCCAATCCCCCAAACATGAGCCAAGGCTTAATGCTGGAACAAGACTTTACTGGAAGTAACAACAACAGGTATTCAAGCTACAGTTTCCTTTTATGCCCTGCTCCCATGCAGGGGAGGGACACACACGTTATCTACAGTAGCCAATAAAACAGAGGTTATAGCCCACACAAAATCCTCCCCTCTGCCTGTGATTAAATTATCTTATTCAATTGAAGATCAATTATCACAGGTAGGAAAAATACAGTTTTTACAGCATATTCATAACTTCTAAAATATACATCACATTCACATAAAAATTATATATTCACAATCAATCCATTCAGGGAAACAACATATCAAAAATGGCATGAATCAGACCAGGGGTTCAGAAGTTAGTAAAGTATCTTTTGGGGCCTGGCTGGCAGCATGGCTATCAGGCCCAAACCGGTTTTACAGAGCCCTCTATCCTGGAGACAATGGGGAACATAATCCAATTATATCCAGGGATAGAGGCAGACTCCATTGAGCACATGTTCCCAGTAAAACACAAAAGGATACAAAAATACATAACTCCTATCATACTGAATTGAACGGGCCAAATCTCCCAGGGTCCATAGTCACAGGGCAAGAGGCGGGCAAGCAGTCCTCTCCAGGCACAAGTGGCGAAGGGCACTTCGTCACAGTAATAAATCCATGGATAAAGTAGCAGGGAGGGAAAGTACCGAATGAATGGAGGGGGATTCTTCACAATTGCCCCCCTTTTACTCCCTGCTCCGGAAGACATGACTGGACCTTTCTGGGTCCAGTGGGGCTGACGGGGCTGCCAGTCATTAGTCCCAGAATAAGTCTGTTTGGCGGGCCAGCCCACATACAGCATTCAAAGGGCCAGACCTCCCCGGGTCCATAATCCCAAGGCAAGAGGCCGGCGAGTAGTCCTCTCCAGGCGCGCAGGTCCCTGACCTTCCGTCTGTCAGTACCCCGGTTAGTCAGGCAGCCCACCCACAAATAAAAATTAGAAGAGTAGCCCCCCCACGATAACCAGTACTGGCCTGTAGGTTCAAATTTGTAGTGGGACAGCTCAACACCCTCGGTCTCCCTGGTGCAGCTAGGGAAACTGCTGGTGCTGCTTGGGGGGCAGAGGGCTCCCAGCTCTTCCACTGGGGTACCCCGTGGTAAGCCAGGCTCTGGACCCGGAGAAAAGGGGGGGCAGAGGCTAAGAGCGCTCTGTCCAGATGCCAGCTCTGCTGCTGGGAGACGGTCAGTGGGTATCGTAGGCTAATCCACTGCCTCTAGGACCCAGTTGGGATGTAGCTGGGGAGGGGAAGTTTTGCTTACCTCCTCCTCCTGGCATCCATGCGGGGTTGGTTGGGGATGTGGACCGCCCGTCCCGCATCCCTGTAGTACTGGCACAGAGACCGCGGTCCCATCTGCGCCAGTGTAGTTAGGGTTGTTTTCCCCCTCACCCGGTATGTCCTGGGGATCTGCCACCCCCTCCTCCTGGAACTCAGGCCGCCGCTGGGAAGAGAGACCGGGTGTCTCCTCTCCCTGGTAGATGTACTGCTGCTGGGGATCTGGGCCGGGTACCCAGCATCCCTGTAGGGCCGGTGGAGAGACCTCAGTCCCATCTCCACCTGCCATCTGTGTGCATCCCCAGGACACGTCTATGAGGTCCACTCATGTTTGGTGGAGGAGAGGGAGGCCGGTTGCCTCCCCTCCACAGGACGCTGGTTGCTGTACGGTGGAGGGACCTGCCATCCCCTCCTCCTGGAACTCAGGCTGCCGCTGGGAAGAGAGACCGGTTGTCTCCTCTCCCTGTGAGATGCACTGCCGCTGGGGATCTGGGCCGGGTACCAAGCATCCCTGTAGGGCCGGTGGAGAGACCTCAGTCCCATCTCCACCTGCCATCTGTGTGTGTCCCCAGGACAAGTCTATGAGGTCGCCCACCTTCGGCTGCTGTTAGAGAGGGAGCCCGGTTGCCTCCCCTCCCCAGGACGCTGGTTGCTGTATGGGGGAGGGATCTACCATCACCTCCTCCTGGAACTCAGGCCGCCGCTGGGGAGAGAGACCGGTTGTCTCCTCTCCCTTGACAACACACTGCTGCTGGGGAGTCAGAGCGACTGTCTCAACTCCCCGTGATGATGGTTGCTGCAGGGACGAGGAACCGACAATCTCCTCTACCTGGGATGCTGTCTGCCGCTGGGAAGAAAGACCAATTGGCAACAGCCCCAATCTCCGCAATCAGCACTCGCATTCCCATGCCGCTCAATTCTCCGCAGCCAATTCGAGCATAGTTGCCAGAATCGTCTCTGTCGAAGGATTTGGGCCATATCTGGATAACCGCCTCTTCATCTCCTCTCTATAAGTGTTGCCCTCAAAGCGATAGGTCATCTTTGCTGTGAACAGGGGCGCTGTACGAATACTAGCGTTGCCCTCAAATTGTAATTCCAAACGTTACCGGTGCCTCTGCGCTGCTTCTCCTCGTACTAGGACGCCATCCCACCGTTTGCCACCAGTTGTAACGGAACGCTGGCACTCCGACTGAGTACCTCCGCCAATCGATGCGCCTAGTGCTCGCTGAGAACTCCAAGCACTCCAACCGACACCATCAACACTGCAGACCCCACTTCCAGCGATACAGCTGCGCCGGGGTCTCGCCGTCTCCACCCACCCTGGATCCACGACCAAGATCCAGCTCCCAGTGGGTGAACCTCTCCTAAATCCAGAGAGCGTAGCAGGAACAAATCAAACTATTGCAAGAGTTTACTCTGGGGAGTAAGTGATTATAGCAATCCCTAGAGTGTAGTTTTCCAATCCCCCAAACATGAGCCAAGGCTTAATGCTGGAACAAGACTTTACTGGAAGTAACAACAACAGGTATTCAAGCTACAGTTTCTTTTTATGCCCTGCACCCATGCAGGGGAGGGACACACATGTTATCTACATTAGCCAATAAAACAGAGGTTACAGCCCACACAAAATCCTCCCCACTGCCTGTGATTCAATGATCTTATACAATAGAAGATCAATTATCACAGGTAGGAAAAATACAGTTTTTACAGCATATTCATAACTTCTAAAATATACATCACATTCACATAAAAATTATATATTCACAATCAATCCATTCAGGGAAACAACATATCAAAAAATGGCATGAATCAGACCAGGGGTTCAGAAGTTAGTAAAGTATCTTTTGGGGCCTGGCTGGCAGCATGTCTATCTGGCCCAAACCGGTTTTACAGAGCCCTCTATCCTGGAGACAATGGGGAACATAATCCAATTATATCCAGGGATAGAGGCAGACTCCATTGAGCACATGTTCCCAGTAAAACACAAAAGGATACAAAAATACATAACTCCTATCATACTGAATTGAACGGGCCAAATCTCCCAGGGTCCATAGTCACAGGGCAAGAGGCGGGCAAGCAGTCCTCTCCAGGCACAAGTGGCGAAGGGCTCTTCGTCACAGTAATAAATCCATGGATAAAGTAGCAGGGAGGGAAAGTACCGAATGAATGGAGGGGGATTCTTCACAGTATGTTTTTTCTGTTTAGAGTTAATTGAGTTAGCCCATTGTCTTTGTTAATTGTATCACAGGCAGAGGGGGGGGGAGGATTGTGTACACTGTAGGGGAGTGTCTGCATGTAAGATACTGTTTTGATTGGTTTTGTGACTTTGTGTCCTGTGTTACACAAGGTCCACATGGGTGGTAACCTTGTGGGGAAAACTGTATAAAAGACAATAAACCTTCAGATCTGCTGAGTTCCTGTTTTAACATAGAGTGAGTCTCGTCTCATGTGTGGGGGAAAAGGCTGCATCTACACTGGGGGATTGATATACTCTGTATACTCCCCTGGGCTATAATCACTAAGCTCTTTTAAGAGCTATTCCTGCTTAACTCTCTGGAGGAAGCGAGGATCACCCACTGGAATCTGGAGCCTTGTCGTAGTTCCAGGGTGGGTGGAGGACAGTGAGACCCCCAACCAAGCTGCAGCGGTTCATGGGATCTGCAGTGCTTATGATGTCTGGTGATGATGGTCCTTGGTAAGCACTAGGAGCATCGATTGACGGAGGGTCCATTACAGTTAGATTCAGGCCAGTCAGGTGGGTATCTGTCACTCTGGTGACATAAGTAAAGCCCATTCTGCTCATGCTGTCTTCTAGGTCTTGGAGACTCCGCACTCTGTGATTTTTCCCTTGGTAGAAGAACAGAAGTAACCTGGGGATGCCCTAGCGGTAGGGTACTTCCTTGTTTCGGAGGACTTGCAGCATCGGCCTCATTGATCTTCTCCAGGCCAGTGTGCTCCTTGTGAGGTCAGGGAAAACAAGAATCGATGAGCCCTCAAACTGGACTGGTGTTTTCTCTCTAACCTCCCTGAGGAACAAGACCCTGTCCTGAGTGGTCTGAAAATGAACAACTAAATCAGCTGTTGCTGTGGCAGGTGTAGTTGATGACTTAGGTAGCCAGAACATGCCATCTATTTTCATTCCTTTGGCCTGTTTAGGTGAAATTAGAGTTTCACACAACCTTCTGATGTAGTGTGGCAGCTCCTCTGTGCCAAGTGTGTCAGGGATGCCCCTAAGTTTCAAGTTGTAGCGTCTTCTTTGGTCTTCCAGTGTTTCCATTCGGGTCTCCATGGTTCACTGGGCCCATGGATTTATTCCAGTTTTTGCGTCACAGCCGCCATCTTTGTTTTTTGAGCGCTGTGAGGAAACTACCCTGTTTTGTTCTTTAACTTTGATTCTTCTCGTTCAGTAGATAAAACTACCGAACACCAACCACCCCCCTGGCTCATTAACTACAAAGAGAATTGCAGATTAAATGTTCTCTCTGTGTGGCTGCCGTTTGTATGGCTGAACGCCACTTGCTGGAGAAAACATCGGCCATCTTGTCACACAAAAAGAGGCAGCAGGACTTGGTCGTCGAGTGTCTGGAACTAAAATCAGACACTCGACTTCCCGAACGCCTGTCAACTTCACGAACGCCTGCTTCTTTTCACCAAGCAGCCAGGAGAGCGCTATTTGGTAAGTTTGTTCTCATGAACTAGGGGAACAAACGCTACCCATGAGCCTGAGGAACAGTTTGTGAATTTGTTCGGTTTTAGAACTCCCCAAAATAGACTGACCGGTACCTCTGAAACAGTGGAACAGTTTTGGGCATAAGAC